ATCATTATGATACATTTTCTTAGCATAATTCATCCAAGTTTAAATTCTTCAGATTACTCAGAGATAAAGCATGATTTTAATGTTAATGCTGGATAGAAAAGCCTCTGTCACAGACATCTAACAGTTAGTCATCACAAAACTACGTTAGCTTTGGTAGACCTCGGTGCTCAGAATAGAATGGTTATGTGAAGCAGCACAGTGGGGGAGCAAGAAGCGATCTCTCCCTTACCAATGCCTCAGTTGTGCTGTTCTCGTTTCCCATGGCTGAGCCAGGTGCAGGGCCACAACTACCCAGACCAACGGCCTCTCACATCAGCTGGCTGAAAGACACTATGAACAGAGAGACTGTCAGCATACGGCCGCTCTGGTGCTGAAGAGAGACAGAATAAAAAACAACCTGCTTGCCCCTCAATAGTAAGAGATTTATGCTCTTGCAGGATTAGGGTGCTACCCTTTGAGCTTGAACGGCCACATGGTGAGAAGGAATGGAGAATATGTTTGCTGTTAAAGAGATTAACATACTGATGGCAAAACCTACCTGCAGGGCAAAAGGGCAACTTTATATTGGCTGGTGTGATTTAAAATGTCGGAAAAAAGCATCATGTTTTATAGAAATACTGGGAATATTCCTAGTGTAGTAAGGATGAAAAAGGGGTGGCTGTGACTCCTCAAATCAGAGCATCTTAAGCCGTCAACAAGACCCTGGGATAAATCCACTTATGGAAAAAAATAGGGCTGGTTGGTTTCCTTGCATTCTGTAGGGCTAAATTCAGAGCTCAGGGAAGACAGGAGCCTTGTTGTAAGTCTTCTAAAACTAAGTGCTTGTGTTTGGGTTGCTGTTCTGTTAAAATACCCAGTTATGTCCATGTCAACCATTCGACCAAAAATATCCCCCTCACCTGTGAGAAAGCTGGTTTTAATATTCCACAACAGCTTAAAAAAATTTTTTTTTCAACCCATTTATAATCTTGAAGTTACTGAAGGACCAGATATTTTCCACAGTTAAGGCAGTTTTAGATCGCCATGGAATGATAGAGTAGCCAACCAAGGAACAACCTCTTGATCCAAAATCTACACCTTCAACCAAGACTGCATATATGCAGCCACCCCCATGGACCAATCAAATAAAAAAAAATTACATCATTGATGAAATTACTGGAGGAGAGTAATAAAGGCCTTTAAAATCTAAGAACATATAAAGAAACAGCAGTCATGCATGGTGGAGGCAGCATTATGCCAAGGGCCAGATTTGCTGCCAGTGGTTGTAAAGCATTGTACAAGGTGTATAGGGTATTCATGAGGGAGGTCTATCTCCAAGTTTTTAAAATGCCATCCAATCAACAATTTAGGTGTTTGAGAGGCCCAGTTGTTTTTTTTTTTGTTAGTTTTTTTTTTTAAAGCTGGTTAAAGAGCTTTGAAGGACATTAAAGCGTTTTTGTAAAGGAGTCTAATGTGAAGCTTCTGGAAAACCGTTGACCTTGATAAAAAATATTTTACGATTAATACCTAAAATGTGTGTCCGTGCCAGAAACTAATACAAATACAATCAGTTTCTAGAAAAAGAGAGGGTCATTATCTACATAAATATATACAATAAGACTGCAGCAAAAACATGTGACTTCTCTGTACCTACCTAAGGCATTCAATCATAAAAACATTTGAGGTGCTTGCATCTACTCCATGTGTATAATTTTGATTCTGCATGGGTCGGAGAAAATTTACAAAAATGTTTTTCCAATTGGTTTTGAAGATTTGGTTGCAACATAATTTTACCCTAGAAGACTAAACCAAAAACCCACTTTTCAAACTTCATTTGACTTAAAACTTTACTTTTTGATAAAGCTTACAGTTAGAGAGGCTCAGGTTATCCTAAGCTATGTCTATAGTTATGCTGCTATAGGCTTAGACTTCTGGAGGACATAGGGACCCCTTTTTCATCATTCTGCTTCATTCTGTCTCTATTCTTCCACTCTGTAGAATCTGTTAATTAAATCTCTATCGTTGTGCTCTCCCTGCTTTTTATCATAGTAGCTTCGCCTCGTCTGTTTCTGTTTGGCTGTGACTCCATCCTGGAGAGAAATATCAGCTGTGCTGCTGCCATCAACACCTTTGTTTATAGATGTTCTAGATCTGCCTGTTTTTTAGTGCAGTCCTGTTTCTCTGACTGCGACTGGCTGTGTGTTTCCTGGATGTGGCCGCCTTTTACAATTGCCTTTTGCATCTCTGCTTCTGTCTCATTGAACCCTAGTCAGTTTTTCTTCCCCACTGTCCCTACAAGTATGCTTAGTGTGAGGGATTGCCTCCAAGTTAATGTGTCGATGAAATCAACTGGTTTTCCTTGATTAGAGAACTCAGGATGTAGCCCACTTCTCGCCCGTAGACAACTGGAGATAGGCACCAGCACCCCTTGCGACTCCGCTTGGAATAAGCGTGAAGGAAAATGGATGGATGATCTGGTGAACTGTGAAAGTGCCTTGAGATGACATGTTGTGAAGTGGTGCTATATAAATAAACTGAATTGAAATTGAATTGACTCTTATTCTGCACCTGTGCCTGTGAGGTGAATTAATGACTGTTGCACAATGACACAGTGACTGAACCTGCACAACTTAATCCTTACATGGTAAATAACAGATCGGCTCTCAGCAGTGTTGCTGGTCTTATCTGGACAAAGAAGCAACCCTAACCCAGATCAGCAGTTTAATGCAATTATCTACAACTCAGTTCTTTGTAGGTTAGGCTTTGTAACCAGACACTGACTAATTACAAATAAGCATTTTTTTTTTTTTACTTTCTTATAGGACATAATTTAAGACAATAAGACACAAAAAGATACTGCGGTACAAGAGGATGTTTAGAGGATCACATATAGACCTAACTTATGCTCTGAAGTTTCCTTTTGATTTGCATTCCTTGTATGACTGCAGGGACAGAATGCCAGCTCAGTGTTAGGCCAGGAAGCAATGACCTGAATATGCAAGACTTTATAAATAGAGTTGCCTCATATTTACTGCTTTATTCCAGCCTAATGCATGATTTGTCATGCGTGCTTCCCAGCTGCATCCCTGACCTTTCTGCAAATCACTTTTTCTCCAACATTTTAACATTTATTCTGTATGAGAATAATAACACTGTCTCCTTACATCCTTATTTTCACTCCTTCAGCCGTGGGGCAGCTCATCTGCCCTGCCTGCTATTTGCGTGAATGGGGTGTAATTTCAGCCCCCTTCTTTACACCAACCTGTGTTCACTTTAGCCGGCAGCGGCTTTTCAAGGCGTTTTGGCAGCACTGATGGGAAATCATATGATTCAACCTCTGCCAGGTCACTTCTCACCTCATTACAGCCTGACCATCACGTAACATCAGCCTTGGGTGGCTCAGATGGAGGAGCATGTATGTGAGTTTACCATTTCCTATCCTGCTTCTTATCTTTTCTAACAAAAAATTCCTTTTTCTCCTCCTTAATTTCTAGAAAGAGATCATTTGATGTTTTTTTCCAATGTTTTTTCTTCAGTTTGTTCAACAGCACATATTATTCAGTGAAAACGGGTAAACATAGCAGAATGAAACAATGCTCAATGTTTCAAAAATAGCTCTATTAGATGCTTTACAATCTATAAATATATCAAATGTAAAAATAAAAGGGATCCAGCAACAAATTACTCACCATCTATCACAATTTCTCACAATTTTCATCTAATAAAATGCTAAAGGAGACACTTCACCAAAAAAAAACTCACAGATGAAACTTACCGCCTATAAAAAAATTCAGCACTGCAACAATGAGACAGGTTCCAGCCTTCAGGTTTGTTTACTGTCAAACTAATGCATCTGTGCTGCCGCCTGAGGAACCCCGGTTCCTCTGTTGCTATTTTAGCCCTGGACACAAGGCAGCGGGGGGACATGCGTGGGGAGGGGAGGGAGGGGAACTAACTGGAGCTGGAGTAGCCATGTCTGCTGAGCAGGGAGGTGGTAGGTTGATGAACTGTAAACAAACCGGGCCACTAACAGCAGGATGGGGGTTTAATGCTTTAGAGTAATTTATACCCCTTGAACTTTTCACTTTCTCAGCCACAGTGAAGTAAAAAAAAAAATAAAAACACAATGGAGGTCTTGTTTCTCTATTTTTATTTATATCAGATTAAATAAGTGTTGGATTTTTATCTGGACTTTTTCATTTTGACACATAAACATGTTTTTGACCTAAAGTGTAGCCCTGGCATCCCCTCCCAACTCCACAAATATACATAAGATCAACCTGACAGTCCCTCTATCAGCATGTAAAAGCACAATTGTTTTCCCCTAGTTTAACAAACTGGCGATCTGTTCACTTTCACACTATGGGTGGATCTTGGTTTTTCCTAAAAATCCCAAATAAAACACATTATTTACAGATACATCATGACAAAATGTGCAAATATTAAAGGGTTGCGACCACATCTGCTAGACAATGAAGCAGGCTGCAGGTGTTCCACCTGTAGGATGACCCTGTACACTTATTGCCAGTGGCATTTTCAGGGTGTTGGTGCTTGCTTGTTGACTGACAGGTAAAAATACATGCACACAATTAAAAGACTGTGACGCTCAGAGAGCTGCTCCATTAAACGGAAGCAACATCTTCACACTGAGATGGATGAAAGTGGATGTGGTTCCTCTTCTATCTGCCATTTGTAAAGGCCACTTTAAACAAGCACAGCAGTCTACACATCATTCCTATAAATAGCCTGCTTCTGATCAGCTGTTTCCTACAAACCAGCCTCAATATGTGTTACTTCTGTTTCCTAGTATTAGGGCTACTTTTTTAATTAAACATATAAGCCCAAAGTGTCACTCTATCTCCTATTTTCCTCTGCAAACACAACCCTTTTGCTTATCCTCAGCTCCTGCTCTCTGAAGAACATTTCCCTGCTGCTTTGAACCCCCGGTCCATCTTAAATATACACTCCACCTCTCCCTGAATGAAAAGCTTCCATTCAACAGTGTCTTCCTCTCTGTTTACCTGCTTGTGTGAGATTCCAATGCAGCTCCCCATCCTGTATTCCATGTCCTCCTCTGGCGAAGTGACCCTGGCGCTACACGGCTGGCAGAGCACCTTTCTGCAGAACTGCATCTTTATCAGTCGGCTTCAGCATCGCCAGAACAAGATCACTGCAGAAGCTTCCCTGTGCACGCCTCCATGTCTGTCTGTGTGTGTGTGCATCACTGGCTGTGATGCCTGCGGTCCTCCTGTGACATTAATTCCCTAGTCACTGTTACATAAAATCCCATTCAATCAAGTGAACGTGATGGAAGTGGAAAAAAGGAGATGCTCCCTGCAGCCTCAGATGCAGCTGAGCTTTAAATCACAGCGCAGGAGCACAGACTGAGGTTTTGCTTTGGAGGGAAAAAAAATCTCAGTGAGGGGAGAGGAAAGGGTGGGAGGGAGGGAGCAAAAAACATTCCTGTCTCTTTAAGAGACCCAAGACAATGCAAGGATGATGCTGCTGCTAGAGCTTCAGTGTGTGGAATTACCAGGATGGTAAACTGCATTTAATCAGATGACTCAGCTAAAATGGTGCAGAAAACAGGAGCTTAAATAGAAAACTTTTTTTTTTTATTGAAACCTTTTATTGAAACATGTAACAGAAGTACAGTTTACATTTTCCTCATATCAGAAAAATAAACTTTTCAATAACATTTTACTTGGCATAAAGAACATTTGTGAAATCCTAAATGGATATTTATTATTAATAAAAACATCAACAAAATATTTCAGGAAAAAAGAAGTTGGTCACATAAAACCTAAACCGTTAAGAAAGAAAAAAGCGCCGTCACTCATTCTGTGTCTCTGGAGGCTGAATTATTGCCTCTCTGATTTCGAAAACATCTATTAGCTCCTGAAAAAGAACAGAAACAAGAGAAGATAGATTATAATTCATTACACTGCAATGCCTCACAAAAGTATCCACAGCACTTGAAGTATTTTGATGCTCAGCGGCAGATCATTTTATGTGATGGAGATATACAGTGATATGGGAAGAAAACTATTCAAAGTTTACTAAATCTATTACATTTCCCGTAAACATCTGTTATTAGGCTCTGTGCACATAAATTTTCAAATAGGGTTTTAAATGGGGTTAAGATTTAAACTAGGCCATGCTCACTCGTGATAAAACCTGAGTCTAAATCACAGCATTATTCTGGTTGATAATTTCCTAAAACTTTTTTTTGCCCCAGGATTGACAAAGAGATAAAGTCAGTATCTTTGCACAGGACTCTGAACCCTCAGAAGTGAAACTTATGAGCTCTGCACCAGGGAGCTGTAACACCATGTTGAGGAACCCACTATTTTAATGTTTTTGCTGTCGCTTAAGAATTTTGCTCCATTCATCCTCCCATGAGCTCTGAACAACTTCCCTGCCCCATCCGTAGAAAAGCACTTCCTCAGTATGATGCTGCCGCCAGAGACTTTCCCATCGAGGATGGTGGGTTCAGTTGGATTAAGTGTTAAGTTTCTGTACAGTTAGCAGTTCACTTCTTCACTCCCACCTCCTTTATTAACCTCCTGTTTAGCTGAAAATAAAATCCTGGTTCACCTCCAACTTTCTTAAATTAAATTAAATAATGACAAGACAGAAGTCCTACTAGTGGGAACCAAATCTACATTATCCAAAGTTGACAGTTTCTTCCTTTTACTTGATAACTCCATAATCTCCCCCTAACCTCATGTCAGCAGACTGGGTGTCATCCTTGATAGTACACTGTCCTTCTCCTCTCACAATCACAACCTTACTCTATTTGTTTACATTCACTTACACAATATCAATCGCCCCTTTCTCTCCCCTGGTTCCACCTCTACTCTTGTCCATAGTCTTGTCACTTCCTGCATCAATAACTGTAACTCTTCTTCTTTTTGGTCTACCTCAAAAATCCTTAAACAAGCTTGAGGCAGTCAGAAACTCAGCAGCTTGCATCAGTTCTAGAACCTTCTCTTTCCATCACATCTCCCCAGTCCTACAGTAGCTCCACTGGCTCCCTGTCGAGTTAAGAATTCAGTTCAAAATTCTTTTACTTCCTTTGAAAGTTATTCACAATCTTTCCCCTCCCCATCTCTCCGATTTACTTGAAATTTCACCTCCCTATGCTCTACTCCTCACCTCATTGTTCCTTCCTCCTGTCTTGTAAATGTAAATCCTTTGTTTTCCCACAATGGGGAAATTCACTCTCTGCCTTGGGCTGCCACTGGGGGCCCCCAGGTAGCAGTGTGGGGATAAGGGTCTTGCTCAGGGACCCAGAGTGGCATTTCGTGGGAGTGTGTGGGACTTCGTCAGGACTACAGCCTCCATACATGTGTCATGCGTGCTAACCACCAAGCCGCCAAAGCATGCCCACAAATATTGCTTTTTTTTTTTTTTTTTCATTTATTTTTTTTTTTTTTTTTTTAGCTCTTATTGTGCGGTGTCCTTGAAGTTTTGCAAGGCCCTTGAAATAAAATGTATTATCATTATTATTGTTGTCAATTGAACAGAAAGTCTTCTTTCACATTGTTGAATTTTTCCATATGTGTTGTTTTCGACAACAGATAGAGGGATTTTATTTATTTATTTATTTTATAGTTGTTTTTTTTAAAGCTTAGATTTGTTGGGCTTCACAGTTAATGTTGTTTGATCATTTCTTCCAGCTGAGTTGTGGATTTTGGCAGCTCCTCCAGGGTTACCATGGACCTGCTGGCTGCGATCCTGATTGTTGTTTTCTTTTTCAGCCAAATCCTGGTAGATCCTCAGCTGTGCCACATGCTCTTTGTTTTCAAACGATGGATTGGACGTGATATGGAAGATCTCTAATGATTGTAATCCTATTTTAAATTCCCCCCAGACCTGTCTGCTATCCTTGGTCTTTATGGTGCCAATTGTTCCCTATGATCCTCTAACAAACCTCTGAGGCTGTTACAGAAACTGCAGGATTTCTAATGAAAACAAATCAAACAGATTATGTAACTTCTTGATGTGATTGGCTACAGTAGGGTTTATTTTCAATATGAAGACGAAAAAGATAAAAACAAATGCTGGTTATTTGTACAAATAAATAATAAGAAGAATAGTGAAACTTCTCAACAAGTAGACTTGCTTGTTGTTTAGCTATCACATCCTAAAAATAAAAAATAAATCACACTGTGTGCCTTTAAAGAGGCAAAAGTAGTTAAAAGGCTGTGAATACTTTTGACACTTTCTAGGACAAAAGTATATTTCAGCAAAGAAGTTTAAAGCTGCTCACCCTCCATATATTTGGGCTGATAGGAACAATGCACTGTCTGCGGTTGGATGTAGCTCCAGCTTCCTCTTCTACTGGCTCTGAGAAATTATAAACAAACAAACAAAAATTCATTAGATATAATTCTTTAAAAGATTTTACAACCAGAAGAAGTCCTTACAGGTACCCACCTATACAAGGTAACTTGTCATCATCCAGATACAACCGTGCCAAACCATCCTGTAACAAACAAGACAATGTTATATCCATTTGGCGCCACTAAATGGAAATATAGCGCTGTAAAGGAATTTACTTACCCTGATGAGAAAAGATGTGTGGAAAATGTTTTCTACCGTCCGGGAAAATGAGTTGGGGTCAATGACAAATTCATAGTATGACATCGGTGAAGCTGCAATGCGAATAGAAAAACAGCAATTATTAAAATAATTTAATGCACTAAAATGTTTGAGGTGACTAATTAAATACAAGAGTAAACAGCCTCAGAACTGATATCGGATTAATCAGACTAGAGGCACAGCTGCAGGCAGAGCTGCTCCAATACCTGTAAAAAAATTAATAAATAAATAAACGCTGAAGACAGACAAGTCTCTAATCTATTTTATTAATTCCATTTCTGCAAACATCTGCTTCAAAACTCACAGCCTGGAGTATAAAAAGCCAATTCTTTCATTAAAAAGTAATGCTGACCATTTGATTTTCAGACATAAGCATTCATTTATACATATAACATATTTATTCACCATTATCTAAACATGTTTGCATGTGCATAGTTTTAAATTTTTTACTGGATTGTCTGAAATTAAAGTTAGTTGTTGATCATATTTATTGGCCAAAGAGGTTAGATTACTGCAGGTTAAACAAAGACTGGAAAATGATGAAATGTCCACCATGTAGGACACTAGATGTCTTAAAGCTGTTTAGGATAAATGAGTGTTTTTGCTGCCAAGTTATTTAGTGATTGTTCACAAAAATTCTACCCCTGATTTAGAAAACTGTTCATACAGCCGGATTTAGAGCGACAACATCCTAAAATATCAGAAACTCTCAGACAGGCAAGGAGACAATGAAAGGAGAGACACAAGAAAGGAAGCAAGATAAGACAGAGGGGTGAAAGAACAAAAGGAAGGTAGGACACAAGGAAGAAAAAATTAAACAGGCAGAAAAGGGAAATAAAATTCAGAGGTGAAAGACAAGAATGAAAGGAATGGAGGACACAAGGAATAAGTGGAAGGATGACAGACGAAACAAGTAAAAGGGAAGAACAGAAGGGTGAAGGCATAGAAGGAAAGAAGAACATATGAAGGAGGGTCCCAGGAAAGGACACAAACGAGGAGAGAAAAACAGAAGGACGCACCTTGAAATGACTGACAATTAAAATATCCTCGTAGTCTTTTCCAGCCTGTTTATAAAGCCTAGAAGTGGGAAGGACTCTGTAAACTAAGATCTATCTTGGCAGCAAAGATCATTTCCAACTTACGGTCATCCTCGAAATAGCCCTTCAGGTATCCCAGGATTCTTTCCACCTCTTTCTCTGTTGCTTCTTGATGAGACTCTTCCATTTTCTTAAGCTGAAACGCAAGATAATGACGTATGTAACCATAACTTACACAGACGAGATTGTTTTAATTCACCAAAGAAAACTAAATGCATTTTGTGATTTTGAAAATTAATCCTTTTTATTCTTAGGTGAGTTTAATTTGTAAAATGTGTATGGATAAGGAATATGACAAAAGATATTTTGAATAGACTGATTAAATCACTTTTAAATAATATTAAAATGTCGATAAAAACAAAAGAAACTTCGGTCATGGAGAATTAATCCTCATACCAAATGATGTTTGATAAGACTGGTTCAGATGTGTGATGGTGCAGGTGGGGATAGAGGTACCTGAGTGGGCATGATTCTCTTGACTTCCTTGCTTGAGGCTTTCCTTTGCCGATCGCTTTTTTGCTTCGGAGGAGGCGGCTCTGCGTAAAAGGATCCCATCCTGTGGAGAAAAATTACACACGGTCAGACCCAGGATAATGTTCGGAGACAAAGTTATTCTGAGTAAATATTTTAAAATTATGAAAACATATTACAATTGAAGAAACATTTTAGGTC